TGTTGGATACCCTGCAGAAGACTGTTTAGCTGTTCCTGCCAGTAATTTGCTGACTGTAACACCTTATTGAAATACAAAGATAAGTTATTCCTATGGTCAGTGGTTAACATGTGCACCTGGTTGTGTGCACTTGCTACACTTTCATTATTCTGAAAGAACTGTTAGGATATAGTTACCCTGAGCTTCTGCTTTCAGATGTGGGGGCTGGCAAAAGATCATGTTAACACTTCAGACAAATATTCAAATAGGTTTATGAAGTGTTTTGTAGGTTTATTTTGGGGGATTAGGAAACTCCTCTTTGTGTTCATATGCATGTGGTACTTTCTTAATGAGCTAGTAATTTTTTCAGTGAAGGTGTTGAGATGATTCCAACACAAGATGTAACAACCTGGGAATGTGTTCTTGTCTAGCTCTAAGAGGTTGAAACTATTTAGAATAACATGGACAAGTACTCAATTTTTGGGAAAGGAAGCAAGGTAATGTTTTCTGGAATTCATGTTCTGTGGATGTATGAAGTAGCTTTGAATCTTAAGATCTCTTAAAAGTTATGAAAATGGAGAGCTGATGCAGCTTTTGATGAAATTTAGTGTAAATGCTTTATGGAGGGTAGCCCATGCTTTCTTTATGCTTCATGTGCAGGTAATTAATGATAATCAACTTACGTGGCTTGAAGCTTAACACAAGTATTTTTTTTGACTAGGAGAGTACTTTAGTTGATTCCTGAATAAAATGTGCTTTGAGAAATCCCTTCTTTTGTCATCTGTGTGCCTTCAAACCCACCACTGCTCTGCAAGTGGTACCCAGCTCTGTGAAGATCCTAATTTAACTGGGACCAGTCTACTTGGCAGAGTGATTAGCAGGTAAAACCAATACCTTCCTAAAGAGACCAGTACAGGTGATAAGCCCATCATGTTTGGATTAGAAATTACAAAGAAGCTCTTCCTTGTGAGGGTGCTGAGGCACTTGCACAGGTTGTCCAGAGAAGCTGTGGCTGCACCATCTGTGGAAGTCTTCAAAGACAGGTTGGATGAGGCTTTGGGTAAGGTGGTCTAGTGGAAAGTGTTTCGTTGTTTGGGGTTGGGGTTTTTTGAAGTTAGACAATGAAAGTAGCATCTCAGTGAGTAAAATCATCACTGACTGCTGCACTGCATTCAATATGGGTATATAATTTCATTGATAAACCAACCAAACAACAAAGGTACTTGACATCCTTTAAAAATACATCTCTTTCCCTTTGAAAACCAGAAACTTCTTTTACCCTTATCCATTAAAACTTGTTTTACTGTTCCCAGTGCATGTTTATTCTGGTCAAACATATCTGCCTGGCAAAATGGCCACACTGGTTTGTTAAGCCAAGTCCAGACAAGTATGGCCTGAAAACTCTTGGAGGCATTACCTGATAATGTCCTGTCACCTCTGGTGCTTTGTTCATTATAGCCTGCAGAGAAATAAGTGCAGGTTCTAGCATGAGTTGCTTTGTCCTGCAGATAACAGGTCTGTCTTTCTGCACTTCATTCATTTAATTCTGCCCAGTCATTCTCAGACTGGTTTTGTGAACTTCAGCTTCATCTTGTTCCCAACCATTTGATCTAATAGGCTGTGATGAGGGCTTGGTACTTGAAAAACCTTTTTGTCAGAGCTGAGGGCAGTGGCTAATCAATGATTCATAAACATTTTCTTCAAAGTGGTATTTAGACATCTCCCCAAGCAGAGTACAGTATGTAGAACAAAGGGGTAAATGTGTAAGTACATTTTTTTTTTCCTCACCTTCAGTCTGCCCTTGTGAGGTCCACTTTGCCCTGGTAGCCATCACGGGCCACATGAAGTGGGTAAGGCTCTTGGCCTTCAAGGCCTGCTTGGTCTGAGTGGCAGTCTGGGGTCTGAAAAAAATCCTTCCTTCCCCAAACACCTCTACACTTCAGAATAGCACCTTTGAAGATTGTGTTCTCTTTCACCCTGTAGTTTTGGTAAATATCCCTACATCCCCACCCAAATGCTGATTAATAGGTTAAGCGAGGGGCAGATGAGCAGTACTGCTAAACTGTTTCCCTGCTGTTCCTGGCAGTCTTTTGGTATGTCTTGACAGAGAGCCTCTGATGCTCTGTGTATTTGTTCTCCATTGTTCAGTTTTGCTGTTAGTTGGTTTCTTACTACTTTTTTTTTTAATTGCACATCCAGGCATATTAAAAAGTATAAAAGACAGCTCTTCAACACAGGCTCACAGTATATGAAGTATTTAAAGTTATTGTTTTCTTACAGTTTTCTGAATCTAAAAATTTGATTGACTTGGTAAATCCATGCCAAAAAAAGTGATGTCTAAATCTGTTCCTCAAAGTCTTATCATGAGCTCATGAAAATCAGTTTTCTAGTTCTAATGCTGTAAATGGAAACTTAACAAAATTCTGAAGCTATTCAGAAGGATCTGTAAAGGGTACTTACATAAAATCATGCTGTCAGAACCTGAAATAAAAAAAAAAAAGCCATGCAGCAGGTGGAAGCAGCCTGTGAAGTACAGATGCCCTGGGTAGAGCAGGTACAGAGACAGGGTGGCAGATACCTGAAAATAATTGAGAATACCCACCCTTGCTTAGAGTTAAATTATCAGCGAATCGGGCAATTTAGCTGTGTGATAGGAGGGGGCAGGTAAGCACTGGTACCTGGCATAAGGTGACTGGATGCTCTCTAAAGAGCTTGCTATACAGCAGGTTTTTCAGTCTTTTTCAATTTGGATACCCTTTCAGAGCAAACTAGGCTCAGATCTGCTGCTTGATCATGGTTACTGGGAGCTGAGCAATCTAATGGACTGAAAGAATTGAGGAGCAGATTAGAGATGAGGGAGTCCTGTGCATCTCATGCAAATGACAGGATAAGGAGCAGGGGTATATTTCTTCTTGGTTTTAGCATTGGAGAATTGAAGAAGAGCAAAACAGGTTCAGTAAAGCTGAGGTGAGCTGTTGTAATTCTTTCAGGATGTGGTTTTATCTAAAATCCATCATGTATTTGGGTAGCAGCTTCAGTTGTTACCATTGAATAGGATCTGCTTCCAGAAATAATGGTAACATAAGTACGAATATTTGCTTTATGAAAGAGGGATGTTCACATGTATGTTTCCCAGGAATTTTACTCTGCATGGTTTTGTACAGACAGTCAAAACAAGTTGTAAACCTGCAAACAAAATCTCTGTAAACACAGTTTCCACAATACACGCAATTCTTGCTTAAAAAAAAAAAAATACAGGGCAAGCAAGTTCCATTACCTTAAATTTAGGGTGGCTGTTTGTTTCTAGTTTTCATCTATGGAAAGTACTTTTAAGTACTGAAGATTGCCATAAATAAAATCAAGTTTTACTTACAAAAAGATAACTTATAAGAGCTGAATTGTATTTATGATTACACTTCAGTGTCTCTGATCCATGTCTTGCAGAAGACCTATTCACTAATTTTTATTTAATTTTTTTTATATATCTAGTCATAGTAGGTCTGTTAGTAGAGATCCAGTATGGGATCTGATTATATAGCATCTGCTTCCTCATAAACTGAGAATCAATTTTGTTTTCAAGGTTTCATACATTTCAGAGTGATTCCCATGCCAGCAGGATTTAGTGAGGAATGGCTAATTCTTATCAAAAGTAAGTGAGAAGCAGCCCTAGAAAGGTAAGAGGGAAGACATCTACCGAGGTTCATAGTGATTTGCAGAGAATTCTTTCCCTATAGGAATAATAAATTTGTTCACATTGTGACTGAATGACGTGGTCTTGTAGTATCTTCTTACAAAGGCTTGCATAAACCCTTGTTTCTAAGTTGCCTGTCCCTAAAAAAAGAGTTCCAATATGGTTAGTGATGTGCAATCGCATCTTTTGAGTAAGACAACTACTGCTGTTCTGTCACAAGTACAAAAGACCTCTATGCAGAAACACTCAAATGTTGCAGGAAGATTGTAGTTTTCTGATGGTGCTTCAGCGATAGCAGGATATGTTTAAAGAAACTTTCTGTACTAAGAGAAAATATTTGGTGGCAGACAATTGTCACTTTCATCTGGTTTGATCAGGGTTAATTTCTTTTTTGCAACTTAATGGAGCTGCTTAAGTGAGAAGCTGTGCTTCTGGCAGAAACCTGTCTAAAGTTGACAGCAAACCCTACTCTAAAGGAGAGTCAGCCCAGTAACCCAGAGCCTACCCTCTTGAAAAGCCCGCCTTCATTCATTACTTATATACCAAGACTAGCACAAGTAGGCTGCTAACTTGGTGTCTGTGGCTAGATGTAATGAATCTGGGCATGTGACTCAGTTTCTGATGGGCAGAAAAAAATTGTAGTGCTCTGTTAGGTGATAATCCATAACAATACGGCTTTATTTGCTATTAGAAAGTTCTTCGGGTTTGGCAAGTTGTCTTAAGCTGGTTTTCAGTTTTGTGTTCCGATAAGGAACAAACACATGATTATGGTGCTTATAGTTCTGCAGTTGAATCTGTTGGTGTTAAACATACAAGGCAGTCATGAAAGATCTATGAAGAAAATACTTTAAATGCAAGTTTAATTTCTTTCCTTCCCTCGAGAAATCCCAGGATTGTTTGAACCTGGTAGCTAGGTGTGATTCCAGCACTGAATTATGCTTGTGTGGGCAACTAATACATTGGTAGTAATAACTGAGTGCTCACAAGGCCCTAGTTACTCTCCAAATCAAAGGAGAAGATCCTGAAGAAAGTTGTAACACAACTGGTGTGATCAAGGTGGTAATTTGCAAAGGTGACGTTGAAGTAAGGTTGTTAGTGGTATTGTATGATGCGCAAGTGCTTGCTTTTATGAAGTATTTCAATGAAGATTCAGCCTGTGGATTTTGAGTACAAGTGGTCATTAATGTCAGACATCTAGCTCATCTAAATAGCAAAGCCATTGTCCTCTTTCAGTTGCATCATTTAGTAAACATAGTAATATGGATATCAATGGATATTTCTTTCCACACTTATAAAGGGTGAACAAAATGTATTAAATTATTTTTTTTAGGAGAATTACTGAAGTCTGGATTGCTATCTTGATACTATAAACCTGCAATAAGTGGCAATGTCAAGGGTTCCCACCCCACCTCCTCCTGGGGAGATGTCCAGTGGACCTGTGGCTGAAAGCTGGTGCTACACACAGGTAATCTACATAAATTCCAGCGCCTTTATTTTCTAGTCATAATTATAACTAAAAATAAAAAATAAAATTACTGAGCCATGTTGACAATCTAACTAGCTGGTGCAAGTTAAATTTTATTGACAGTCTCTACATCTCTGCATCTTTTATTCAGGTTAAAGTAGTAAAATTTTCCTACATGTGGACCATTAATAACTTCAGTTTTTGCCGAGAAGAAATGGGTGAAGTGTTAAAGAGTTCTACCTTTTCATCAGGGCCAAATGACAAAATGAAGTGGTAAGGTCTTTATTCTAGCAACTTCTTTGTGGGTTTTGTTTGGGGTTTTTTATTTGTTTTTGGTTTTCCCACTCACAAAAGTTGCAAAATTCAATTGCAAATAAATATTAAACCTCATATTTCTTGAAGTTTTACTGTAGGTACAGATTGGTTCTAATTTCAAAGTTTCAACAGTCATAAGGGAAACATTCATTTTTGTAGTATGTATCATTGTATTTTGTAGAAGTATTTCTGAATTTATTCTGGATACTATTGAGAAATGTACCATTTCTGTGTTCCTTTCAGGTGCCTGAGAGTAAATCCAAAGGGATTAGATGATGAAAGCAAAGACTACCTGTCATTATATCTGCTTTTAGTCAGTTGTCCTAAAAGTGAAGTCAGAGCAAAATTCAAATTTTCCCTGTTGAATGCTAAAAGAGAAGAAACAAAAGCAATGGGTAAGGGAATCTTAATGTATTACGTGTGGATTTGTAAAAGCATTCCCAAAAAAATCAGCCTTGTAAGTTTTTCAGTTGAGAACAGAATTTAGTATTGAGGTAAACTTTAAAATACATTTTTAATATACTTTTAGAAACTTAATTAAAAATCTTGTTCATGTTTCACACTTTCCTGATTGCTGAGCTATGTTAATTCTATCCTGAGCAGTATAAATTACTGTCGTCACTCCAAATTCTTGTCACTTTGCTCTTCTAGCAGATTATTCTTGCTTCCTATTATTAGGGGTGTATTTGCTTGTTTCTAGCTGCAGTGGAAGTGTTTGATTTCCATAGTTAATTGGGATAAACATGCATGGTTGGTGTTTGGGGTTTTTTTAGACACTCCTTTACAGTGTTTTGGTCTAGTTCATCTCATTTACACTCTAACTTTAGAAACATGAGCCATATTTATCTGAGGAATTAGGAAGGAAACTTTGAAATAAACAGTGATTTAATTGCTGCTTTAATATGAAAAATATGGCTCTTAGTTTTAAAGTTACAAGCTTAACCTGCATTGGAAACACTTTTTGGAAAAGCTGGAATTCTCATGAAAATGTGTACTTTAATGCTGGTCTGCACTGAGCTTATGCTGTTGCTAGTTCTATATATGAAGAATCTGTCTACCTTTCTTCCTTCTACTCCAGGACTTGAGATCTTGCAGGGTCTGTTCTGTTGCAAGTTCTGAATTTCTTGGAAAAATCTGTAGCTCTCTAGTACTCATACCCAAAGTTCATGCTGCTTTCTCCTTATGTAACTAGGCACGCTTGTAATCTTGAAAATAAATCCACAAAACTGAGTTCAAATCTAAAACTTAAATGGTTGGACTTCTTGGAAGGAAAGGAAATACATACATTCACTCTATTTATCCTCTTCCACTGATATAGTCGGTTGCTTCAATCTCTTCAGGCCTCCTGGTTCTGTTACATGAACAAAGCTCGTAGTTTTTGGCTTGAGACAGAATTGTAGAATCATAGAATAGTTAGGGTTGGAAAGGACCTTAAGATCAGCAAGTTCCAACCCCCTTGCCATGGGCAGGGACACCACGTACTAAACCATGTCACCCAAGGCTCTGTCCAGCCTGGCCTTGAACACCACCAGGGATGGATCATTCACAGCTTCCCTGAGCAACTCATTCCAGTGCCTCACCACCCTCACAGTAAAGAACTTCTTCCTTACATATAACCTAAACTTCCCCTGTTTAGGTTTGAACCCATTACCCCTTGTCCTGTCACTACAGTCCCTATTGAAGAGTCCCTCCCCAGCATCCTTATAGGCCTCCTTCAGATACTGAAAGGCTGCTGTGAGGTCTCCATGCAGCCTTCTCCAGGCTGAACAGCCCCAACTTTCTCAGCCTGTCTTCACAGGGGAGGTGCTTCAGTCCCCTGATCATCCTCATGGCTCTCCTCTGGACTTGTTCCAACAGCTCCATGTCCTTTTTATGTTGAGGGCACCGGAACTGCACACAGTACTCCAAGTAAGGTCTCACGAGAGCAGAGTAGAGGAGCAGGATCGCCTCCTTCGACCTGCTGGTCACACTTCTTTTGATGCAGCCCAGGGTACGGTTGGCTTTCTGGGCTGTGAGCGCACACTGAATCTGGCTCATGTTCAATTTGTCATCAACCAACACCCCGAAGTCTTCTCCACAGGGCTACTCTGAATCTCTTCTCTGCCCAACCTGTAGCTGTGCCTGGGATTGCTCTGACCCAGGTGTAGAGCCTTGCACTTGGCTTGTTCAAGTGCGATAAGGTTGGCATCGGCCCACCTTACAAGTGTGTCAGGGTCCCTCTGGATGGCATTCCTTCCTTCCAGCGTATCAACCAAACCACACAGGTGTCATTGGCAAACCTGCACTCAATCCCGCTTTCCATGTCACTGACAAAGTCCGGTAGTGGACTGATGTATGTAGTTAAATAAAACTGCAATGTGAACATCAAAAAATATTTCAAAATAATCAGAGAATCACAGAATTATTGAGGTTGCAAGGGACCTCTGGGTGTTGCCTTGTCTAATCCCCTTGCCAAAAGCAGGATCAACCAGAGCAGTTTGCTTGGAATCTCATGCTTTGAATATCTCCCAAGGATGGATACTCTGCAACTTACCTGGGCAACCTTTCTAGAGTTTAATTAGATACTGCTGGTCCTTTTTTGCTTTAGGGGTTCACTGATGACTCGTTCATTTGTTGCCCACCAGCACCTAATCACCAGTCGCCTGTTTCTTCCTGCTGAGTAGGTCTGCAAGCAGACACTGAGCACATTGTTTGCACTGGCATCCCCTCTAATCCCGTAAGTTCTCTGCTGGTTCATCATCTGCAGGGCAGAGCTCCATGCATTCCTATAGGTCTCATGTAAAGGGTAGCCTAGCCTTCCCAAGGAGACTGAACCTGTCCACTGCAGCCCTATGGTCCCATGAGCTATCCTACTGTGTCTGTGTGGGGGCAAGATGATAGCTGTGCAACCGAACACAGACTTCTAATTTCTCCTATTTCTTCCTCATCCTGTGTACATGAGTTTGTGAGCACTTCAGAGAGGTGCTTCAGAAGTGTTACTTTAAATGCTAAAAATCACAAGGTGCTAAACCCCCAAAATCCTAGTGTTTTCAGTTTCTGCAGTAGTAGCTGTCCTGTGTTTGGCACTACAGGAATTGGAAACATATTTTTATTTTGGGACATTACCAACAGAAGTCTTATTTCTTGGACTTTCCAGCCATTTGCCATTTGCTTCTGTTCTGTACTTTTATTTATACAGTATCGTGATGCCCGACTTCAGATGTCCTTTGTAAATTCATAATTCACGTGCAGACTGCTTCCAGATGATGAAGCTGTGTATAAAATCATAGAATCGTAGAATAGTTAGGATTGGAAAGGACCTTAAGAGCATCTAGTTCCAACCCCCCTGCCATGGGCAGGGATACCTCACACTAAACCATGCCACCCAAGGCCTCGTCCAACCTGGTCTTGAACACTGCCAGGGATGGAGCATTCACAACCTCCCTTGGCAACCTATTCCAGTGCCTCAGCACCCTAACAGGAGAGAATTTCCTCCTTATATCCAGTCTAAACTTCCCCTGTTTAAATTTTACCCGTTACATGTGAGGTCTCCATGCAGCCTTCTCCAGGCTGAACAGCCCCAACTTTCTCAGCCTGTCTTCATAGGGGAGGTGCTCCAGTCCCCTGATCATCCTCATGGCTCTCCTCTGGACTTGTTCCAACAGTTCCATGTCCTTTTTATGTTGAGGAAACCAGAACTGCACACAGTACTTCATGTGAGGTCTCATGAGAGCAGAGTAAAGGGGCAGGATCACCTCCTTTGATCTGCTGGTCACGCTCCTTTTGATGCAAAAGGAGCATAACATAATACATAACAAAGTAACATTTGGGCTTTATTAGGAGGAAAAGAACCACATTTATGCTTTTATGTTGCTTTATTTTTGTGGGTTTTGTGTACTTAAATTGCTACTGGTCACAATTTCAGAGGGTTTATCACTGGTTGTTGCTGATAACAGTAAAAACTGTTTTCAGAATAAAGAATTGGGCTGAATCCAGAGGAAAACAATTTTAACCTCTTCATTTTTTTTCTGGTTTTATGTTTTCATTCTGTTCTGAGGTTTGTTGTGGATTTTTGGCAAGTTGATAAAAATGTGAAAATGCTGATCCAGATGACAGAAAACCTAAATGGTATTTTTTAAAATGATAATTTTTCTTTGGCATACAAAGTTAAATGTAACAGTATTTGACATTTGTTCTGTTGCCCTCAAAGCCCACACTGCACTTGGTAAGTGTATTTTCCTCTGCTTCTGTTTTCTGCAGTGTAAGGATGTGTGCTGGAGACACCTCCTGTATTGTCAGTTCCTGAGTGGTTCTTCATTGTATTAAAAAAACAGAATCAAAACCTGTACAATATATTCTGCTTGGTCTAATTCTAGTGGAAAAACTGTTAGGAATGTCATTTTTCCAGCTATTGGCAGTGAGGACAACGTATTAGACATATGTTTCCTAGCATGTGTGGTGTGTTAAATGGTCAAGTCTATTTCAGTGATGCTACCAAGCTGAATAGTGAAGTCTGACTTTCCTGATATCTTTATTTTAGATGTTGTAGAACGAATTATATTTTAACAGATTCTGTAATGGAAAATACATTGCTTTTATAACAAACTTCTGACTTCTAAATTCTTCTCTAAAAGGCTAAAGTATCTATCCATACAGCTTTGTGTGGAATTGTATGGAAATATGATGACATGTTTCTTGTCCAGCTTTTTGGAATGAAAAAAAAATCTATCTTGGAGAACTCTTTTTGGGATTCTTTCCCCTTCCCCTCGGACTCCACGTTATTTCAGAAGTAGTCTTGCTCTCTTCATTTTGAACAGTCTTTCTAAATCTGATTCAGAATGTGGTTTATTCTACAGATATTCTCAAAGGTATTCCCAGATAACCTCTTTCCCATGAATGCTCCATCCCTGGCAGTGTTCAAGACCAAGTTGGACGAGGCCTTGGGTGATACGATTTAGCATAATGTGTCCCTGCCCACGGCAGGGGGGTTGGAACTAGATGATCTTAAGGTCCTTTCCAACCCTAATTATTCTATGATTCTATGTTTTAGTTCCACATAGAAGTATATAATGCTCTTCCCTGTGGAACAAGTGAACACCTTATAGTGAACCTGCCATGTAAAATAACTAATCTTTCAGAATTACATGTATTTGCACTGATATGACTTTGGGAACCCTTTTGTGGGCTATGAACACTAGAACTGGGAAAAAAAGGGTTGTATGGTCACAGGAAATCCAATGGATTAAAAAAAAAAAAATAATTATCCTAACTATGGCTAGAAGGTAAATATAAATAATACCTTTTTATGACCAAAAAAAAAAGTTTGTTACTTGAAAGCTTTTATTTCTGTTTTGCCTTTTTTAGTGCTGTTACCGTATTTCAAAATAATTTCAGCCTGTGAAACATGATTTTCCATTCCAGGAGGAAGTCAAAACAGATTGTTGTGACAACTGCAGAAGTGCTGTCAGAATGTACTTGTGGTGACAAATTCATTGTAATGGTACTTCCCAGTGAACAATTTCTGTTTTGACACATTGGCATTCTTAAACATTAACTGAAAAACTCCTTTTTTGCTGGATGGCGCCTAAGATAGCGTCTAAGGGGGTGATCCGGCTTGAATTGCAAATTTTGCTCTATTAAATTCTATCAGGTGTTTCATAAAATAATGCAATTACAACATTATATTTTTAAGAGTTGTGGGTTTTCTCAGTGTGACATATGATCCAAACATGCTAAATGGTTTTATTTTTTGATTAATGCTTGGCTTTAATATAGCATTTAGGTGTTGTTATTTGCTAATATTTTTATTTAAGTTGCTTTATTTGTACATTGACTGTATTTTATCAGAAAGCCAAAGAGCATATCGATTTGTGCAAGGCAAGGACTGGGGTTTTAAGAAATTTATCCGAAGAGACTTTTTACTGGATGAAGCCAATGGTCTTCTACCAGATGACAAGCTTACATTATTTTGTGAGGTGGGTATAGGTTTATAAGTGGTAAACTTTTAAGTAAAATGTTTTCTGCTTTAATAAAGGTTAACATTGATTTAAGCAGTGATATCTTAACGTTTTCTTCTGTAAACTATAATATGGTAAAATACACATTTACTTGTTTTGTCTGCATTGCATTTGTTGGGGTTTTTTCTACATGTATACTGAAGTTTAGAATAGGTCTGAATTGATCACTTGTAAACTATTGGACTTCACCATGAATCTCCTAGGATTATTTTAGGATTACTTCTGTAAAAGGAGGCTTACACATGCTCTCTGTAGAAGTACTCTTTTACTGAGGTCACTTTTATTTAAAGATGTTGTATTTGGAATTACAGGATTGGTTTTGACTGGATAAGCAAAAAGAATGTCTGCATTTTGGTTTGCATTATAAAAACCCCGATTGTCAGAATCTATATTTCTGTAATATCATAATTGATGATTTTAACCAATGATCAGGTATTTCCAGTAAATGAAATACTTTTTTTTTTAAATAATGATTTTATATTTTGCTTTCTGAACAAATGCAAGAATCCTGTAGAAGGACTGCTTAATGTTGAGAATTAATATTGAGAGCTGTGGTGTATATTTAACTTCATGGTGCATCAGGGGTCACTTCTATATCAGTTATATTGTAACCTAAATTGTCATTAAAATTCAGTAAAATGCTTACTCAATGTTAAAAATGGGAACTAGAGAAAGTATAAGTACAGTGTAAAATACTCATTGGCTGGTTATCTCTGCTACCATAAAGTGATTAGTGACTTAGGAGGATGATAGATGTTCTAACTACTAATAAGTTTGCTTTGATTTGTGTATTTGCAGGAAATATGTAAAATTGTCTTGGCAAGATTACAATTTAATTATATGTCATTATGCTGTGTAGGAAGAATAATTGAAATGTGCCCCCTGAGACTAGATATTGCAAATATAGTGCATCTTATTTTCACTTAGACAAGTTAAATGAGCAGCATGATAAATTTGTTATGAATACAATTATTTGGGTGATAAAAGCTGATGTAACAAGTGTCTTATGGTTCTGTGAAGATACTTTTGGGTATTTTCTCATTTTAAGTTTTCCTTGTAATGAATACTTTGTAAATGAATATTTTTTTGGTTTTGTAAATAGGTCACTATTTAATGTTAAAGTTTTTTGCTTTGTTTTTTAAAATCGAACAAATACTGAATTTTCCAGAAGGAAACATTGCTCTGTAAATCTTGATGCTAATCTTTAAATATAGCTGTGTTTCGCTACAAAACTTCTTGATGTCTTAATGCGAATGGCTTTTTTTTAAGTGTTTGACCTACCCTGATTACAAATGCTGGAAGAAAGTACATTTAGTCGTGCACAGTGAGCATGTTAAATAACTTCTGGCTTATTTTAGGCTAAAGGAAAAAACAACCTCAGTAATCCAAATAATTTTGAAATTAGTTTAATCTGGTGTGTTCTGTCATTTCTAATGACACCTGAAGAACTAGGTGTTGTTTGAAGGACTTGTTTCTATAGACAAGTTTGAAGTTTTTGTCCTTTAAAAGTGAACTGTAAGTTGTAATTTCTGTGTTTGCCTTCCTATTTGTATCCTAATTGGAGGACTGACCACTTCTTAAAACTATATTGCTAAAATTTACCAGTCATAGCAGGTATTTAGTAAAGATCAGTGGGTACCTGCTGTATTGGTTGGCTCTTTTCTCCCTTTTGAATTGCAGGATTTTTTTTGGTCTTGTTTGGCAGCAAAGATATTCCTTCTGTGTTGAGTGTTCTTGGCTATGTCCTTGGACTGGAAACTGAAGGGTTGTTAAGTGAAATACTTTGCAAAGTCTGGTGTTGCCACTGACAAGTGAGCTCCTGATTAAATACAACTTCATAATTTTAATTTTTTTTTAAGCAAACTGATGTGTTTCGCTCAGTTTGTATATTCCATATAACCTGCAGTTACTGAAGTCTTGCAGGCACTTTTACAAATAGAATAGTAAATTCTCTGCAGGGGTGTTTTTCCTAGTGAGTGCTTTCACAGATCTCTTACCTAGCTTATGTCAAGAAAGTAGTCTGGAGTATCACTTAAATTATCTTTACTATTAGTTTACCATGGGTTCAAAACCAAGAAAATAATAGACATTATCCTCATTAACTGTCTTCACACACAAAACTTGAAGTCCTAGTTTATGCATTTTTTTCTGTACCCTTACATGTGAGAGAATGCAATGCAAATAGGACCTGTATCCCTAAAGTATGTAGGCTGCACAAAAGCTGCATGTTGGATAGCTTCCTAAGCAGTAAAATACATCAGACCTTTTTGGATGGAGTACCTGGAAATCCTGGCTGGATTGCTGCTGCTCTTTGAAATACATTGTTTGCTCTTCTGACATCTTCTCATCATCCCTCAGTTCAGTAAAGAAATACCTTTGATCTTGTGAGTGGTTTTTATAAACACAAGTAAGGATTGTATCAGGTGTTACTCAGCCTGAGATGAGGTTTCAATAGTTATGTGGGATTAACTTCATTGGATTTCAGCTTGATTTAAACAAATTAAAAAAAAACAAACACAAAAAAAAAACAGAAAAGAACCATCTGGACAAGTGAGATATGAAATATCAGACTCCTGTGTCTGTATTTAGAATTTTTAAAACTTGTTACTATCTATAGACAATACATGCCAGGCCTCTCAGAGGTAGGAGATGTGAATTAAAATTTTGCTTGGGTTATATCTTTAAAGGATGGATCATAGCAAATTGTTGTGTTGCACAACTACTAATGTGTATTAAAAACCAACAGAAGTTTGGAAGATCATAGGTCAATTTAATTACACATAAAGACTATGTAGGTGACCTTCCTAGGCACTTGTCTGTAGCCAGCAGGAGGATGCTGTGCAGGCAACTTGGCTCAGGAACTTTTGAGTCAAGTCTCTGAAGAAGCAGAACTCTCCTTTGACAACAGAAGACTAACTTTGCTAAGCTGAAACTTTGTGTGTATGTATATCTGTTGAAATCACTCTGTGTGTATGAAAACTGTGAAATCAAGTACACAATAGCTCTGTAGATTTTTAGTGTTATAAATTTATAGTCTTAATGTCAAACTGAAATTTCACAGTGTCTGGGGTATTTTTTATTTTTTTTTTTTTCCTTTAGAAGGTGGAAGAATATAAAGGAATTTCTACTAATCACAAGGAGGTATGGGATGAAACAGGGAATTAGGCAGTGATTCAAATTCCCAAGCTGCTGTCCTAATTTGATCATCTTCCTCTTCTGATCTGGAGTTTCGTTTGCTGTGCTTCAACTTTCTGTGAAGCTTAGCTGTGCTGTTTTGTTTTATGCCATATTTATTCCAGATGCTGTGCCTCTAGAAATCAAACTGAGCACTGATCTTAACAGTATCAGCATTTTCTCTTAATATATAACCCTACTGTATTTGGGAGATCTTGTGATCAAGATCTTGTAGTATGTCTCTTATTTACAAAAGTGTTTTGTTTTTTTTTTTTCCTCAGGCGTGTGATCTCAGGGAACAGAAGTAAAACCTGCTGAGCATTTCTGTTTTCCCAACATACATTAAAACAATATGTAACGATATCTGAAAAAAAGCATGTAAGAATGCTGCTGTCCTGTTCTCATGTGACAGATTTAAACATGGGGAATAATGGCAATATATTCACTTCAAATGCACATATTTCACAGTTTTCTTAATTAGTTCTGTACCAAAATGGCATCCTGTGAGCATGCATTTCACTATTGAAGTTACCTACTCCATCTTCATTGACTTACATTGCTGAAATAATGGCTTTTAATCTTGTTTGGAAAACAATGACTGGTGATTCCAGCCTCAGCTATACACAGTAAAATGAAATAATGGAGGACCTATGTTACTTGTACTTAGTTTTCATTATCACATTGCAGGTGAAGTATGGACTTACTGTAGTTAAAAGTTATAATTATTCAAAATTTCTATGGATTATTCCCTTAAAAACTTTGCTGTGACCTTGTGATCCTGATGATCTGTTTACAATTTTATATTGTAGGTATTTTGCTTAAATGTGTAAAGAGTGAACTGTTATCTCTTACAGATAGTTAACTTTTTTTTTTATCCCACTGATATCCCAAGAGCCATATTGATTCTGGTGGCATGTGGTATTCTGCTCTTTTTGTTTGTTTGTTTGTTTTGGTTGGATAAATACAAAATACTAGTCTCTAAGTAAAGCCCTGTTTGTTTTATATTGCTTAAAAGTAAACTGTAAAGCATTGGCTTATGGTTCTGGCCTAATGCCAAAAACATCACTTTTTTTTTTGCTTTGCTTTGAAATTGCTGAAATTCTAGCAGTAGGTGCTGTAATATAATTATTACTGTGATTCAGTTATGAAGGAGTTGTCTTGCTGTGATTTTCTGTTAGGTAAGCGTGGTCCAAGACTCAGTAAATATATCAGGACAGTCTAATACAAACACTTTGAAGGTACCTGAATGTCGACTAGCAGAAGATTTAGGGAATCTCTGGGAAACAACAAGATTTACAGATTGCAGTTTTTATGTAGGAGGACAAGAATTCAAAGCTCATAAATCTGTCCTTGCAGGTACTTTCTACTTTGTATTGCTATTACTTTGTAATTTAAATTGCTGAAAATTTTAAATTTGGCTATATTCAGTATTTACCTTTCTTGATACAGCACGATCTCCAGTTTTTAATGCAATGTTTGAACATGAAATGGAGGAAAGTAAAAAGGTAAGCATTACTGAAAACTTCACATGTAAATATTTGTATCTTGTGAAAAAGGGAAAAGTTGTAGAAAACTCAGGTATTACAAATTGAGGAAGACGAGTACTGTATGATGGTGCATGAGTGGAGGAGGGTACTACTGATTGCCCTCCTGGTGAGTTCTGCGGGAATTTCCTTGTGTAGAACAGTTAGGGTTGAATGTGGAAGGGTTCTGGAGGATTTGTTCTTGCAAGTACTTGTACCTACCCTAGATCAGTCAGGGTTTTCTAATAGTAGCTACTTATGTAATTGACTTGCCCCTTTTTTTGCTTCAGTTTATGCCTTCACATAAGCTGATTGACTTTACTAAGGTTTTGTGATAGTGTATTAAAACATTTTATATGGTAGCTAGGAGACATAGAAACAACAGGTGAATTATGACTAAAATTAAGCCCTGAGGCAGTGAAGCTCTCCTTTTCATTCAGTTTCTGCAGGTACTTGACCTGTGTAAGTGTTTTGGATGGATAGTTACTTAATCAGCACAGAGAGCTACTGCTGCTTTTATGCACTTGATCTCTCCCACAGTAAGGAGTTGTGTCTTTCCTGAAGAAAAATATCTAAAATGGTTGGTTGTAGGCAGAATCCATAAAAAAAAGCAAGGACCTGATCAGCTCACTAAAGAGTTGTAATAGATGACCATCACTTAGTCTTGGAGGCTGCAAGATTGCCACTGGTGTGAACAAATACATTGGATGAATATCGGGTGGAAGTACAGTTGGGTTTCACAAGCATGGCATTTTTCTTCCCTGCACTTACGCAATCTGGAAACTTTCACAGGTAGATTTGGAATACTGGAAGCATTTTATAGAGATTTCTGAAATGAGAGAAATCCAGATATGTCACAGCTTCAGTAATGCACCATTGCTGGGGGCCTCCACCTTCATGTTAACAGTGAATCACTAGTGCAGCCTTACTCGTAAATACTGTTTGTGGTTCAGTGGATAGGAAACCAGAACATGTGCATCTCATGTACTATTGTGTACTCCATTCAGGAGTCTGGTGCTTGCTTCTGCATCTTTGAAATAATTTCCTACTTTGTCAGTTGCTTATAGGGAATACTATTTGAGGGTGGGGTCAAGCATGTAGTACCGCAATTTTATTAGGATGGGCTTCAGCACATATAATGTCAATTATATCAGCTTTTGTGTTTGCTTTTTGGATTCCGAGAACCAAATGTAGGCTGTGTTGACTCAGTCAAAGTCGAGCCAAAATGTCTGACTTTGTTCTGCCTGGTGCTCTGACTTGTGGTATTCCAAGCACATCATGGTTGGCTTGGAAGCTCAGCAGCACTTTTAAGTATTCCTGAAACTGTGCCTTGATTTTTTCTTTTTATGTACAACCTATGCAATAGTCCAGACTTCGACATTTCTAGAAAAAAGTTGCAGTTATTCCTGAAGCGTTCCTAACTGATTTCTATGGGATTTTAAGAGCTGTTAATTTTATTTACTTTCTGCTTAATATTGTTGAATGCTAACTTAAGTTTGTAAGGATTTTGCATAATGGCTGGCAAATGAAAACTCGTAGTGTTCATCAAATGATATTTGATATGTTAAAGTTGTAGCTAAATTTTAGAGGCATTTATTGTTGTTTTTTTTTTTACCAGAATCGTGTAGAGATAAATGATGTAGATCCTGAAGTTTTTAAAGAAATGATGAGGTTCATTTACACGGGAAAAGCACCAAACCTTGAAAAAATGGCTGACAATTTGTTAGCAGCTGCAGACAAAGTAAGTTATTGACTTTTAAATTCTCAAACCTCATGTTTGCTTGTGGAATTTTCTTCTAAAAAAAAAAACCCCAAACCTACCACTCTTTCAGATTGTGTATTTTTATTTTTTTTTAATTATGAGAAACAGATTTCATCAGAAATAGAGAAAGAAGGGAAAGGATAGCCTTTTAGCAATCGAAGGCTGATAAATCTTTCTTGACCAGAAGTATTTCAGATTAATTATATTTGCTACCCAATTTTTAATTTTTTTTTTTTTGAGACGAGATTGGAGACCATTAATATGCTTGGAAAATTGGTCTTGAATAAAATGTATCCTAGATCTTTGTGCTCTTGAAGAGGCTATATGCAAGTGTTTGAATTAACTGTGCTTCCTAAAGTACTGCTACTTCAGAACTTTCATCTTTTTGTTTTCCCTACAAACATAATAGTTTTAGCTTTTCATCTCTTCTGTATTGGAACTTTGTCTACTTTAAATTGTCACTCTGTGAAATACTTTTTCTACAATTATATTTGAGATAAAGGGGCTTTTAGTAGCACAGCAGTTAAGGTGAGATTATTCCCTATCATAATTTACAGTTTTCTAACTTTTGATCTCAATAACTGATTTTTTTTTTCTTCACTGCTTTACAGCTTGAGTTAAAGTTTTACTTAGCTATCCTCAGAGGACACACAGTTGTCTTTCCCTGAGGAGGCAGAAGTAGTTTAGAATCCAGAAAATACTTCATTGTGTGTAATTGAAGTTTTCATTCTCAGCTGCAATGGCAATTTCTTAAACTACCTTTGCAGTTTTGGTATTGGTTGAGCAATCATATCTTTAAGATATTAGTGGTGAAAATTACCTATTCTCATAATCAGTCCTGATATAAAGCATTTAACATAAGTCACACCAGTAGTTAATTTCAATAAAAAAATAGATGTATTTTTTTTTCTGGCAGTTTAATGGATTCTTAAGTTTTCAAGATCCTTTGACCTGGCCTTGGTAACTTGCCACTCTTGCTCTTTTCACTTCTCATTGCCAGCATCTTATCTTCCAAAACTGATGGTGTTTTACCAGGTTTCAGTATACCCAAATAGAAAGGTGAAGTGATGATATTTTATGAATGCTGGCCTTTATTTAGCGCATAATTGATAAATATAGATAATAAGTTGCAGTGGTGGGATTTTCTGCAATATCTGGGAATCAAAATGGAAACTTTATTCCTTTTGAATGTGAAATAATAATCTAAAAAAAAATTGTGTTTTACATTTTACAGAAGGCATTATTCCTACCAGGTAATACCCTTATTTAGAGTAAATAAATATCAGTTAGAACAAATCTACACTGCTGTATCTTGTGGAGCACTATAGAAATAAAATGGAAGTAAAAATGCATAGGTCTAGAAACATAGAAGTTAGCCCAATAATTTGACTTGAGTGGCATTTCTTCATTGTATTCAACAGTTGCTAATACAAATGTATAAGTGGCAACTTGAATATATGCTACTTGTGTCTAAAATTCTTTTCAGACTTGAAAGCTCTTATCTGGAGGATGCTGAACTAAATGGGATGGGTAAGCTCTCAGTAGTAATGTATACAGCTGAATGAAACCTGTTCGGACTATGACATCCTTCAGAAAAGCATAGTTTATTAATGCAGAATATAATGTGGGAATGCAATTCTTTTACATCAGCTTTCTGGTAGGCTGTGTCAAAGGTATGGAAGAAATAAAGAAATTCAGAGGTAGGGGTAGGACTGAACTTGGAATAAGCTAGTTTAATGTATTTTCCCGTGGACATTTTCATGAATGTTACCACTGTATAATTTCTTGCCCCTCACTTTGAGATGTATACATGTCTAATATAATTATAGAGCCTGTGTCTGTTTCTTGCTCTTCCTCCCCTACCAAACTGAAGGAAAATGAAAACTTCTGAATGAGTTATTTTTGTTCTAAAGTTCTCCTAGTAAAGCATTTGATCAGTTTGTGTCAAACCTAATACATGTCTTACCATTTGAGGACTCTTCAGTACAGCATACTGAATTAGAATTATCTGTTTGGAAGTGGTTTGACGTTAAGCTTGAGAGGCACCAAGGACTTTCATGACTGGAACTGTTGTAAAAACTGTAGAGGTACTGGTAGAAAAAATGAGTTTGAAGAATGATTAGTGTAGTTTTTTCTTTTATCAGTATGCACTGGAACGGCTGAAGGTCATGTGTGAGGAAGCACTCTGTAGTAACCTCTCGGTAGAAAATGTTGCTGACATTCTTATCCTCGCAGATTTGCACAGCGCTGAACAGTTAAAAGCACAAGCAATAGACTTCATTAACAGGCAAGTAGTATTTTTGAGACTGTACATATATTTGTATTTATGCTTTGTGTACCTTTTCATCATGAGCATGGCTCTTTCTTACAGGTGCAGTGTTCTTAGACAACTTGGGTGTAAAGATGGGAAAAACTGGAATAGCAAGTAAGTTTTCCTGCCTCATGATGTTCTGTACAAACACTGCTAAATAGACTGCAGATCTTAAGAACTGTTGCTTCATGTCCACACTACTGAGGCCAGTCACTGACTGTAAGTAAAGTAGGATTCAGCAGATGCTACCCCAGTTATGATTGCAACCTCCCCTTTAACTGATAGGTAGAGTTAATTGCCTTCTAACATGAGGTCCCTAACAATAGCTAGTTTTCCTTCCTCTCCCCCACTTGTATCAGTGCTGTGAGATGGTGGCAGCAACCTTTATAAATGGAACTTTTCTCTTGACTAACCAGGTTTATGCCTGGAGGAGTGACAACTCCAGTGTGGTTTCATGACTTGCTTAGGTCAATATGAGCCTGCAGTATTTCCAAAGAAAGGAGGGCAGTTGCTCTTTTTGCCTTTGGCAGTGTTTGTGCACCTTCCCACATGCCAGCACTAGTACTCTTGAGGCCACACAACTAGTCAGGTCCCTCTGCTCTGGCTGGCTCTCTAAGTGCTTCTGCCTACACTGGGAATAGGTCAAAAATATGTGGCTTAGACTGTAAGACCGATTGCGGCATGTGTTTGGAACAGCTCAAGTGAATCTCAGAATAGAAGACAGCCAGCAGTAGGCTGAAACAGTGAAATGAAGCAGAGCCCTTATCTTACTGTCAGAATCTCCAGAGAAGTTAAAATGTGTGTTGTACCAGTTGCTTTACAATTAGTGCTTCTCCTTTAACAACAACAACAACAAAAAATCTTCACAGGCCTAATGATTGAGCATGCTGTGGAAAAGGGAGTGGTAGAAGGTAAATAGTGAAATACCAGTAGAAAACTTAATAAAGATAAGTCGGCATACGTAACAATGTAAACTAGCAGATGTATTCCTTTTGAAGTGATTTGGAATTTACTGAGTTGACTTGTGTCTTGGCACATTGCTATTTAAGATGCTGGTCATCTTTGCTTCAGCTAAAGCATCTGCAATAAATCAGGGAAATAACGTGAGAAGGCCTGGCTTAATTTACTAACACTTGGCACCAGGGAGTCTGAACTTTGATATTGTTTCTCAAGGCACTTACCTTTACTGACTTGCAGCAGAAGATTAAAGGCTTGCATTAGGAATGTGCAAAGGTTATTTAGAGATCATATGGTACAGATGTTGTCTGTTAACTTTATGCTTGACAGTATTCCTGAAGCAGTATGAGGGTGATTATGAAAGGCGCTTGAAAATGCAGGGTAGCAGAAACCTGGGCCTGATGCATAAATTGTTGGTTCAAAATTACGAATTTATCCTGTGTCAATGCGGCATGCATACCGACCAGTGTAATGTTCTTCACATGCGGAAGAATCTATATTCACAAAAAAGTAAACATACACATTGAGAAAATACATAGCTTTTAATTTCCTGGATACTTGCTGAAATTTGTTGTTGCTTCTATGTTAGTTAAGAATCCATAGTGGCCATTGAAAGCCGTTCTGAGTGTAGTCTGTGATTTTGTACTGAAGGAGTGAATATTCTCATATATACTTGACTGGTAGTGAAACTGTGAGCTTGCAGTGAAGGGCTCTGTAGTCAGGCAGCTAATCTGTCTTCATTGCTTTTTCTAACATATGAACTGCATCATTTTTGCTGCTGTTTTGGCTGATTCATCTTGTCATCCTTCTCTCTCTAAACTGAGCATGCCCTTCTATGTAATGAAATTACTTTGTCTTCCCTAGCTTTTTGTGTCTACACTAGACCTCACTTTCTTCTAGATTTCCTCTTTTATTGTGTTTTTTCTGAGCGATTTCAAGGTGGTTATCTTAACACAGTGCCCAGTATTGGATGCAGGCCTCTAGCTAATGTGTTGCCAGTACTAAGTAAAGCAGAATAAGTAAGTACCTTATGTCCTACATGTGATGGTATTAGTATACCCAAATTGCAAGTTGCTGTTTCTTTCCTATGGCATCCTTACCAGCATTTATAAACTGGTGTCTCATAACGTTCAGCTGCTTTTCTGTGATAGTTGTCTTGCCTGCTCTTCTCAACTGTGTTTTTTTGCATTTGGTTTGTAAAGTTGTGTGACTATTATTAATACTTCTGTTTTCAGCCAAGCAACAGACATAATGGAAACAGCAGGCTGGAAGTCCATGATCCACTCCCACCCTCACTTAGTAGCAGAGGCCTTTCGCGCACTAGCATCTGCACAGTGTCCACAGTTTGGCATTCCACGCAAACGGCTAAAACAGTCATGAAATCTTCCATGAACTTTAGAGAAACTGAATTGACTCTACTCCATGTCCAGAGGTGTTTTCACAAACCATAAAAATTTTTTGTTATCCTTGTCCACAGAACAGAAGCTGAAAAAGCCTATTGTTTGCTTTTCAGATGGATAATTTATGGTTTAATCCTCAGCTTTAAATTAGACTGATTAATTCACTGAAAGGCCTTAAATTATCTTCAATGACTCTAGTCCATATAGTCTAATGTATCTTGATTTTTTTATTATTATTATTATTTTTTAATGTGCCTTGTCTTTTTGACTAGGCTCTGCAGGATTGCACTAGCGCCATAATGCAGTAAAGTTGATAACTGAAGATTAATTTTTGAAAGGGATCTTCCATTATTTTCAGAAGAAAAAAAAAAAGATTATAGTTTGGTCCTGTGCTAAACTGGAAGGTTTTAACTAGCCTCTCATTAAAAGCACTTGAATCAGAGGCACATAATGTACCCTAGGCAAGTGTTGAATATGGGGAGAGCCTGTTTACCTTCAGCAAATGCTTACAGGCTATTTATGGCAATATACTGCTTTGAACATAATTTATTTTTCATTGTGGGGGCAAATATGCAACGGTTTGGCCCAAAAATGTATTTTCATTACAGTTTGTAATGCTTACTGTGTGTGTGTCAAAGCTGTCCAAATGGTAAAAAGAAACACAGAATAAACCTCTTGCTTGTGTTTCTTTATGGTCCATCATTAGTTTACATTTAATGCAGAACAGAACAGAGGTAAAGATTGTTCAATGTGAAAACAGAATAGTATTGTATAAGGAAAAAAAATATATCCCATGTGTATGGTTACATAGGAAAGTAAAGGATGCATAGAATGACCAAATGTAAATTGAAGAAATGGGCCAAATGGATTCTGAATATGCACTTTTAATGTGTAACTTTTGTATGTTGTGTGGTACATATATATTTTGCTTTTGATGAATTAATGAGGTACAGGTAACTGTGGCTTAACTTTTTAGATACATTTTAAGATGCCCACAGCCACATGGGATTTAGTTTTGTTAGAAAAGAAAGGCATGTCTTTTAAGACTCAATTGAAGGTGGCTATTGCAAGCTTTCGTATTTAAGTAACAGAATATTTTTGCTTATTTGAAAAAGGCATGTGAATGGCAAAGTTTTGAAGGGTTTTTTCCCATCTTGACCTATGTGCATAGCTTTCATTAACACCTAAGAAGGTTATGTACACATCAAGAGGAATATTTCCCTGAAATGTCAGATGGAGTTTGCAAGCAAAGACTTGCTCAGTCTTGCATTTCGGTTATTGTGCTAGCATTGTGGATGGTATTGAAATTCTGCATAATGTGAAAAGGATGAAACATTTATAAACTGCTTGTCATGGGCCAGTTCTTTATGATGCGAACCTTAGCTTTAATATCAACATCCTCAGTGTTTGATAGCATTGTTTACAATTGGGAGGAAAAGTCTGCAGTAGTGCACACTCTAAATGTTTCCTGAGTTACTGCATTGAGTTTACTGTAATAGTGATAGTATGCTATACCTTTTGGGGAAGACAGTGGGGAATGGGAGAGATCTCACCTAATTTATGAACATATTTGCATAAGGGGGTTAGGTTGCCTATTAAAAAAAAGTCACGCAGGGAGGAGAGAGGAAGAATTTCAGATTGTTTACTATCTTAAAATCTATCTCCATCCTCATTTCATTAGGATTCATCTAATTGCTCTGAAGGAAATTTTTAGAGGAAAGAGTATATAGTTTTATACTTTGGCACCTAGGATATCACTAGCAAAGGTAAATTGGAAAAAATGCTCAGTTCCATTTTGAACAATAAAATAACCTCTAAAGATGCATTTTCTTCTTACCTTCTAACTAAATCTTTATGATGGATAAACTGTAAAATCAGAAACTTTAATAGAACGTAAGGCATCAAATTATATATTTGCAGAGATTTATCCTTTTATGAATTTTAAAGTATTTATCTAAAATAAGATCTCATAAACATTCTTCACAGTAAGACAAAACTAATTGTTCTCTCCAAAATAGTGATGTTTTTGCTGCACTGTGTAATGCGTTAGGACTATATATCCTCATACTCATCACTGGTAAAACTTGCAGCTCTAACATACGAAGTGACTTGAATATTTAATGCTGTAATGATTGTCCAGTTCAGCTTACTCAAAAATATCAGCGTACAGTAATCAAATGGAAAGCTTAAGGACTTTTATGAATTTTTTTTTAATAGAAAGTTAACAGCACACTTTGTACCAAAAAATGTCAGACACTATGCTGTAATATTACCTACATTGTAGAGTGTCCACTTTTCAAGTCAGACAATGTGTATCATACATTACACTAACAGGAAAAAAAAACAAACAACCCACATGGTGATTGATCTGTTTAGATATTTTCTTATGTATGTTTTGAAGTTTCGTCAGCTCTTGCGAAAAAAGTGAAACAGTTGCTGTATTATTAAGTGAGTGCACTAATTATTCACCTCTTATTCTTTAATTAACTACATGCAGTGTTCTCACTGGAACAGGGCTGGCTGGTAATTACAACCTTCTCCTTTGGAGTCAGTAGCTTGTTTTTATTCCCCACATCTCAAGAGCTTGCCCTTCAAAACCTCAGTTGTCAGTTCTAAGTGCAGCAGGTATGAAAATATCTAGATACAAATGGACAGTTTTTTTCAGGCTGAAATGTTAAGGGTTTTTCTTAGTTTTATATATGTATTAGGAATATAATGTATGAAGGTGCCATGTTTTGGCTTGCCAACACTACTCCCTCAGATAGATGTGAACCATTGCTTCCATACTTTTCTGGGGAGAACCCTGCATGTGTCCTGTGTGTGCGTGCGTGTGTGTGTATGACTGTGCGGTGTTTTTTGTCAAGAATGACTTTCTAAAAATAAGGACTCAATTTGCTGTTAAAATGCTATGATTTTTTTTTTTTATTTGAACCTCTCCTAAGGAGACGCTTTGGGTGGGAGATGCTTCAATAAATGATCCTTATTTCAGAGTCCATTTACTGCATGCAGAAGTATGAACACATTGTGCCTTTTTAGGAAACCGTTGTAATGAAGGGAATATTTAACAGGACACAAGATCTTTTTTAAAAGGTAATCTTAAAGGTGGAGTATGCTATTTGATATACAATTGAGATGGAAAAGTTAAAAATTGCCCGTTTAGGCTCTGTTGCATGTTGATTCTTTCTACCTAAATTCAGTTTCACTGAGGTGGAAACTACACAAAAAAGTGGAATAAGTATTATAGATACAAGTTGAGTAATGGTATATTTTTGTGAAAATGTGAAAATATTTGCTGTTACAAGATAAGCGTATGTCAAAATGTGATAATCATGGACACAAAGTTAGTTTCACAATTTAGTCTGTTTTTCTAAACATTGGGTATAAAATCCACCTTTGCACAGACGGTCAGTAGAAGACGTACATGGAGATTATGTTCCTTTTAAATCCTTATAGTAAGTTTTCTCCCTTGGGAGAATAAAACGATGTGCTGTATTTGAAACTGTGTTTCATGAAAGACAGTGAATTGCAAATATGAGATATTGCTACCTGAAATACTGTTCAATTTCATTGGATTTTACAGTTGGTTAAAATTTCTGAGTTTAAGGGATTTACTTTTTGTAATTGACAAATGGAATGTTAACTGTCTGCTGTCTGGTGTTGATAGTGCATTTAGTGCAGAGCTTAGCTCCTTAGCTAGCAAGACACTGACTTAGTCTCATAACTTGGCTTCTGCTTACAGTAAATGGACTACATTTGTAAAGGGAATTCACTATTTCAAGTGTTTTGCAAGGAACTTCACTGTATTTGTAACCTGGTTTTTGAAGGTGTAAGATCAATGAGTCTTATTTTAGAAATTAAACCAGTGAAATGACTTAGACCTGTTTTGCGGTGGAAATGATTAAAAGCATTCAGATATGTAAACAGTTGTATCAAACCATCCAGCCTTTTTTTATCAGCTGATGTTAATGGTGAAATACTTTTTGTACCTTGTTGCTGAAAATATTTTTGCATTTCAGCACATCAAGTTACAATAAAGTTGTTACTTATACAGAATGTGTCTGTGTGGCTTGTATTTGGTTTATTTCCTGTATATGTTCACAGTCGCTACTTTTGCTTCTCTCCTTTTGAAAAAGGAATTTTTCCAGCATTGTCAGTCTGTCTGGCATGAAATACACTGCTGTCCTTTGAAAACCAGTTTTTGGGGAAGATCATAGTGAAGATCAGAGCAAGACTGCAATAACTTAATTATTTTTTCATTTTGACACCTTCAAATAACTTCAAGGTCTGAACAGCTTATAACTTGCCTACCTGAGAAATGACTGCCTTTACACAGACTCTGTCAGAACTGATACTGGGTGGGAAGAAGAGTTGATCTTATGGTCATGAAGGTGGACTTCGTAGTTTTGAAGAGATTTGGTTTCTTTTTCCACCTGCTATCAAAACCTGGTTGGTTTTTTTTTTGTCAAGGAGTATAGGCTCATATGACTACATACAACAGGAATGTTGCTTGCATTTGTTATAGGAGAAGTGGTATGCAGGAGTAATCCCTATGGGTAGTTCATGGGATTTAATATGTTTATAGATATTTTTGCAAAGATAGGACTGTTGATATGCTGCTCCACGTGTTTGACTTTGGACGTGCTGAACTCATGAAAACAGTAATGTCAAGGTAAGTCACTTTATAAGAAATGTCACAGGCTGTTTGAACAAACATAATTACTTGGTTTGTGTTATCTAGGCTACGTCGAAAACACAGCACAGTTGACCATTGCAGTTCTTCCCAAGATGACTTGGGTAACAAATAAGGATACAGAACTGTCATCACAAGGCTCCTGTGGGTATCTTAGCATAGCACATTGCTGTTTTATGTGTAGGTACACGCAAAGTTCTCCACGTTTGCTTAAAACATAAATCCCTTAAATTACTTTCCAATGATTGAGCTTGATGTTACTCATGGGGCTAACAGCAACAGTAGTGTAACTTGCACCTTCACAGGCAGTTTCAGTAACTTCCAAGGAAAACATGACTAGTTACCCCTATGAATGGCAATCAGTTATTTGTGCAAGTCCAAATTTTTGAACTGAGCTTCAACTTCTAGGTAGAGAATATTAAACTTCATTATTTCTTTTATTTTAGAAAGCTATATTTTTATCCATGGTCTTTCTGAAGTAATTTTTCTTGATGTATAGCTTCTCATTCAAAAGTTTTCTTCATTATTCATCAGAATGGATTCAGTTGGCATTGATGAAAAAAGCACCTATTTTCCTTCTAAAATTCTGATGGCCTTTTGGGTGTAAATAAAGCTTTTCCTCCTTTTAGTTGAATGCTTCTGTTTTAAAGTATTTTATGGTGTCAGTTTATCTGAATCTTGGTTTAACTAAAATACTACTAGTAACTCTGGCAGGTTTCTGGGAATTCTCATTGTAAGTCCAGTGTATGCCCTTTTCTTTCTTTAAAAGGGGAAAGCTCAAATAATGAATCTTGATTGGTAGGATATGCTATTAGAACAAAAAGCAGCTCTTGTATACCAAAGTGCCAGCCCCGCCATATGCTGTAGGCAGTTTGATGTGCTATGAGTAGTGCCAGCTTAAGCAGTCCCCATTACAGCTACTAGAAGAAAAGTTTCTCAGTCACAGCCGAGAAGTACTGATTAAAACGTCTTTGTGCCGCTTTGCCAGACTTAGTAGTTACTGACTAATCACAACAACTTGCATCTTAACTTTATCAGCAATTCTGATATACTCTAGAATCTTATCTACCTTAATATTCAATGTGGTTTTTGCTTTGTTTAGCAAAGGATTCATTAATTTTAGCTATGATCTGTATGAAAGAATATAACCTTTTAATGTCTTTGTATGTTTCAGATGACTTCTGTTACAATTAGTATTTGTTAAAGTGTTACCCATTCCACTACAAATTTTACTTGCCATATTTATTAAGTAAATTATAATCAAACTACTTCCATTATCCACAAGTAACTTTGCACTTAACGTTGTGATGGTATGGTAATGGAGGAAATGCTGTTAATTGCTGTTAGAGTAGGTTTGAACAGCTTATCTTTCCGCAAACTTCTTGGTAATTTTCCACTAGAGGAATATTTTTTTATTGTTGATTTTGAAGATTCCTTCTTTGTTATCTCGGAGAAATCTGGAAGAAATGTAAGTGCAGAAGCTGGAGCATTGCAAATGCGTGATGTTGAAGGACTTGTATTTTCCACTACAAGCACTGCATCTAGGAAAAGAATACCCACCAAAACCCAGACTTAACTGTGACAATCCACCGGTGCTTTGGAATAGAGGTGTCATGCCAGTGGTTGTCTAATAAGTTATATTTTAAACAGTATGTGAAGTTGATGCTTTAATTATAAAATTGAGTTTCTCATACATTAAATATAAATAACAGAAATGAGCTTGTGATTCGATGCTCAGGAGGGAAAAGTAATTTTGCAGAGTTGCCTGGCCTTGGCTTATAGAGAAACCACCAAGAATAGTTTGAGTTCTCAGTTAAAGTATTTTGAAGGACACTTAGAGCTGTAGCAATCATGATGATCATCCTGTAAAGCAGTGTGGATTTGGCTTCCTTTGAAAACACTACCTGACACTAACATTTTTGTCTTGTGTTCTTAGTACAGTTTGGAGCATAACTATTTCATGCAGGTGTTGGTTTTCAATCAACAGTATATATGATGAGTGAAAAATCTGTGCTCTGCCAAACTCATGCATGTTTCATGCGTTGGCAGTGATAGTCATGTAGGAAATAAACTTCACTATGTCAAATTTTGTGCTGCTGATCAAAGCAGAGGCGATTTGTGATGCATTTTAAGCAGCTATGGGTTTTGACTTCCTGCATTTCTCACTGAATAGTTGACTGAGCCATTTCAGTTAATAAAGGTAAATTTTGAAGCATATGCAAAAAAAAACTTTCTAATAGGGTGACTTCTGAAAGCATAGAAGCTCTAAGTGCAGGGTAGCCTATTTTAACCTCAATTGCCAAGTAAACTTTAAAATTTCTATTTTTAAATTGGTAACTTTCTATGAGCTTTAAAATCTCGTGTATCGCATACACAATTTTCTAACTCAGCTGTGTCAAGGTTATCAAGTCTTGACATTTTAAATCAGACTATCTACATGTTACTGAAGAATGAAACTAAAATATTTACCTGCTGTGGCCAGCAAAGAGTAAATCTTGCTAGGATTGTTCTGCATCCGTAGATTAAGAGCCGTGATGTTCTCCATAAACCCACACCATATGTTTTAAAAGGAGGAAAAAAAACCACACACAAACACACACACAAAAAAAAACACAACACAACACCCAAACTATTAAATTTTGCATCTTGTCCCTGTCAGATCTTGCAGATGGCTGTTCCTTTTGGACACATGCATGTGGGAGTTTTTTCCACTGGCAAGGCTCAGTTTCTCCCTTACAGCAGGACTTTGTGTTGTTACGCTGGCTCACAAAAGCCTATGCCGTTTTACCTGGGGAGGATTATCCCAGGGGAACAGAAGGACTAAAATTTATTTACCTCTTTTCCTGCTGCTGTGTTAAGGACTGGTATGCAGGGAAGCATGCCAAGGGTGTGCTCACTAAGGCTAGCTGCCAAGTTGGTTGCTGAAAGTGCATCTGAAGTTAACCAAAGGTGTTTGATATAGGTTGCTGGGGCATCTAAGTTATGGACAAGCTTCTAAGCTCCCTCTTTGCTGTTATTTCATAGGTATTTATATGGTCTTCGCTGTAACCATGGGACAAATAATGCCTGCTCCTTGTTGCGTACTTACTGGCTTTTCTGGTCAATGTGAATTTGAGGTGTAGGTATGGAGCAGTGTGGATATCTTTTTGAATGGAACTTTTTCTTCAAATGCCTTCTTGTTTTCTGTTTTATTTTTCAGAATGTGTGCTTGCACTTTGTAAATAATTTAAATGCAGAATAACTAGTGAACCTGCAAAAGCTCTGTAACGAAATTTCAGCAAGTTCCGTTTCCCTGATTGAGAGAAATGGACATGGAAATTTCTTTGTAACTGTGCCTGCTAACAAAAAATGTATCATATCAGGTGTAGTAAATCTCTAAACAAAGAGGGGGGGGTTAAACTGTATACTAGATTACTGGTAAAACACTTTGCATTTTCTTAATGCTAGAATAGCAGGCATCTACTCTTGACAAGCTGACAGACCAGAGAATTGAAACTTAATGAATCTTAATGCTTTCTATCATGTACTTCAATTTTCTCAAATTAGTTCTCCAGTTAGTTTAGTCTTTGTGAAGGATGATTAATGATAATTAATGCATTCTTATAATTTGCATATTCAAGCTCCAGTGTTTCTAAAAAAAAATGCAATTTGTATACATGGGCAAACCAGGTTTATCTGTTGCTTCTTTGGGGTGTTCGGAATTTCAGTTTTCAGGGAGAGTCTGGTAGATGCGTTAGGTAGTTCAATGTATTTTTTTCCTTAAGAAATGTTTTGGGCACAAACGCAGATCCTGGCTCTTTTCTATAAAAGCAGTTTCTTCCCAGCTACTTTTTAGTAGGTCAGCAGGAATGTAGGGATGCAAAGCTGCCATCAGGAGCCTTAACTCATCCTGGAGTTAAGGGTGAGTTAAGGGTGAGTTAAGGGTGAGTTAAGGGTGAGTTAAGGGTGAGTTAAGGGTGAGTTAAGGGTGAGTTAAGGGTGAGCTTTGGAATACATTTAGATCTGCAAGATGTCAGAACAGGTGAATCCTGTAGGCATTTACTCTTCAGAGGGTTTGGTTTTCTTTTAGAGTTTCTATATGCCTCCTTTATGTTGTCCTTTCTTTGGTTTTGTCTTACTCCTAATACACACCCATGGGGGGATTTATCCAGATACGTCATCATACTAATTTTGTGCTTAAGATCAGCAGCATGAGGTTGTGAAAGCCATTGGGTTTTTTTGTCTGCATAGGAGCTTAAGCTTTCCATGCTGCTTTGCAGGTATACAACATTTGGGTCTCAAAAAAAAAAACCCAAATAAATAAAATTTTGGTTTCTGCTTAATTAGTCCTGCATCTTCTGGTAGAAATGCTTGTCCAGAGGAA